AGGCATGTTTGGAGACTTCATTTTCATTTTACTTCCTGGACTTCCCCAAGAGACTTCAAGGTCATTAACTATACTGAGAGGTTTCAAAAGTTTGTGGAAAAATGGAATTAAAGTATGAGGTTATTTTGGCACAGAATTTTTAAAAAATTCATGCATAGTTCATTCATAATATACATTCTTCATGAAGTTTTGAAGACTCCAGGATAAAGTCAGTAAGAACTACATTCCTTGAGGTCAGGGCAATGGGTCCTCCATCATGGAATTCTGCCTTGGATAGGCCTCAAGGCAATAATTTAGAAGATGCTGGTATTGTCATTCATGAAATCAATTCAAAGGGCATCTGTGTCCCCAAGTAACTTAACATTTTGTGATTTTGCTTCTATTTTCACCTGTTTATGTCTCATTTCCATAACTAGATTGTAACCTGCTTAGGAACAAGCATTTTTGTGTGAACATGATGCTTTGGATTTAGTAGGGCCTCAACAAAGTCCTGTTGAATTAAAGGGACTATATTTTCAGACAGTTTTCAATGATCCCTAAAAATGGGGTTTGCCAGAAGGGGAACCCATCAAATAAACACTGGACATTTCTAGAGGAAAACCTTTTAGATAATTGGGCATCCATGAGTGGGCTAGTAAATGAAGAAAAGATGAAGGCTCTGCCTTGGAAGAACACTTCCAAAGTCAGACTAAGATTATAAATGCAGACTGACCTGTCAACAAGTCCACAGAAGACTCTGGAGGTTGTCCCAATCTAGGAATGGGAGATCTACCAAAATCAATTTTCCAGAAAGCTGAAATGCCTCTGTTGCTTGTGCTGGATGGGGCCATTTCTTAATATTGTATTCTTTCTTATCTTTGAGGAAAGCAGAGTACACTGACTCTATTTCAAGCTGATATTGTAGGCCTGAGGTGGTGCCTAGAAGGTCTTGTTTCTGCAGGGATATTTTCCCTGATGCCAGATGGCTCCAGATTGCCATAGTTTTCTAGGCAATTATTTTTTTTTACCTTTTCTCACTGTTCCTATTCATTTATGTTGTGTGTTTCTGCTTCCTTCTTTTACACATACCCAAACGAAGGAGAGCTACACAGAGGCTCTCCCCATTCCTGCCAATGACTAAGTTTTATTCGTTTCTCACGTAGCTTGAAAATC